TATTTTTGCCTGACAAGAAAAAAACCTAAAAATAAACATGAGCACTGACCAGGGTTTGGCTGGCTATCAAAGCCTGTTCCACAGATTTTCCCAAGCAGTACTATGCACTGTCCTGAGTTCAGCTGTAACAGTTCTTTTTCTCCTGCTTAGCAGCTGGTGTTGTGCTGTGCTTTTGACTTACTCTGAAAAAAATGCCGGTTTTAGTTGTTGCCAAGTAATGCTTACTCCAATCAAGGATTTTTCAGTCTCGTGCTTCGCCAGTGAGTCTGGGCTTAAACCACAGCTGTGAAGGACTCTGTGGTACAAGTCATTCCCCAGGCCATGCCATCAGTCCCAAGCCAGGGAGATGGTGCTCTTGGCGTATGTGACTGCAGAGCTCTGGACTGACCAAGGACATAGATCCCATAACCAGGGAGCCCTCAGAGCAATAGCTGTTCAGCTTCGCAGACTCTATCTGTGTTACTTCCCCTTTGAATTATATCCTCCACTGTTAACAGAATAGAGGGCATAAAATAGAATACCTTCATTTCAACTGATTGTTATCAAAAGTAAGTCAAATAAAGAAGTGATTGCATTTCCCTTTGCAGAAAGGAATACCATCATGTTCATTATTCTTTACCAGCATTTCAGCAATATTCTTCCCTGAAAGGGTCAGCAAGCTCTGGAACAGGCTGCTTGGGAAGTGGTGGAGTCATCATCTCTGGAGTTATTTAAAAGCTGTGTAGATGTGGCCCTTAGGGACATGGTTTAGTGGTGGACTTGGTTAACAGTTGGACTCGTTTATCTTAAACTTTTTTTCCCCAATCTAAATGATTCTATTCTAAAGTGATAAAACATTCTTGTCGAGAGCACAAGTTATGCCTCACTTTTGACAGGCTTTCATTCTAGCTTAAAATACACATTTCCCACCTGAATGAATCACTCAGTTGTTCACGCAACAACCTGCTACATTTCTTCTAACTGAAAGACTCCAGCAGTAACAATATACCTGTGTTTATATATATATATTAATGCAGTGTCTCAGATTTCTCTCTCCAGTCATTAGCTTTAAGACTATTCAATTCAGACTCAACATAGTTTTGTAGAATACGGAAATGACCTTTTATAGCAGAAGGAATCGGTATAATGGGAAAGACTGACCTCCAGCCTCACAGAGACGGCAGCTTTCTTAAAAGGACTGCTGCTTCTGCATGCCGACTCCAAGTAATGTAGCTCCCATCCCAGCTGAACATTAATATCTTAAGAAAAACTCCAAGAGATTTAATTTCTAACTGATTAAAAAAAATCCACCCATATCCTACTTCATTGTGCCCAGTTCTCTGCCTATACTAGTGTCACATAAATGCAACCAGAGATCTCAGTGAAATTAGCCTTGTTCACTCTACTGGGAAACAAAACCAGTCAGACCTACTGTTTTCTCCCTGTTACACTTGCAGTCGGAGTTTAATCCACAAATAGGTATGCATAACCCCGGTTCTGGAGGGAGGGCTACTCAGTATGGTCAAAGAGTATTGCATAAAATCCAATAATGTTTCGTTACTGCTAATAATTTTCGCAAAGAAAACTGGCTCATTTGAGATAATCACAATGGCTACAATACACCACAGATAGACAGTACACGTTAGTATGTACACCAAATGATCACAGTCACACCTATGTCTGCACTAAAACAACAAATATCACAAGGGAAATTATGAATTAGCTTGCCTGGTTACGGTCAATGTTACTGATAATTACACATTTAAGCAAATTAAACATGGCAGGCAGGTCCGGTTTGTCTTTTTTTCCACTGCTTTGGACCATTTTCACAGCACTTGCTGTGTTATGGACAAAAGGACCATCCTACTCTTTTCAAGGCTGAGCAGATCACAACCCCATTGGGCTACCTGGGGATGTTTCTGGGCACAGCGTTTGACATCCAAGTGTCTTGCTAAGGTAACATCTTCCTGTTGCCACACCTGCTGTTGATAAGTTATTATCCTCCCAAGCAAACCCTTACCTAACCTAGACGTGACACATCAATAGCAAAGTACACATATTCTTGCTTTTCATACACCGTGTTCAGGGGGAAATCATGAGCTAGAATACCAGATCAAAACTCAGCAGTCTTTGTTTCTTCACGTTTTTCTGTCACATGGTGTTTGGGCAGACCCCCCCCCCCCCCCCCCATCCCTATACACAGGGAAGCACATCAGTAACAAAAGAAAACCAAAACAACAAGCCACAACACCAAAGAACCAAAGCCACAAAACAGGAGACAGCAACAGTGTAAGAACTGTTACCCAGCACCCAAGTCCTGGATTTTGTCCCAGGCCAACATATAACAAAGGGGTCTGCAAAGCATTGTTGCAGCTGGCTTATTCAGTTCTCTACACTTCCAAGAAAGATGTTCAACTCTGATTTTCATTTCAGAGGTCCTGATTCAGCAGGGTTAATGAGAAAGAAAGAAAGAAATCACATGGCAAATTAAAGCATTGTGAAATTCCCTTAGATAAACATTACTTGTCAATTCCTCAGCGCTTTGCAGTGTAATTAACTACCCCTATGTAGCAAAGGTAAAAAATACAGCATGCTTCATTTCAAGGTCACAAAACAAGTGAGAAAGAGTCAAGAACAGAGGCAAGATACCCTAAATTGTCACCTCTCCTCAGTCCCCTGCTTCAACCACTATGCAGCCTCCACTCTTCAATTTGATACAAAACAGAAAAAGTCAATGCCAGCTATTAATCGAAAAGCTACAGATAGAAAAGCTATGGTAAAAAGGAGCCTTTCTGAATTGACTGTATAAAGAAACTGCAGTTTAAATCAGTATTTGATATGCAGCAAGTGTGACAAATAGAGTTGTGTGCAAAGTTATCTTGCTCTTTTTTACATATTCTTCTAATAACTGCAGTGATTGTGGACTTAAAGATCCAAGCACCACCTCTGAGCTCAGCTGTATTTTACTCTGATGAGCTATTTATCATCCTAATACCCCTGTCAAAGCAAAAATAAATTCTACTAGACACATCATTAAAGTACTTAGTAATCAGTACAAGATGACGTACAAGCACTAAACACAGAATACCCCAAAATGCTAGCTGCTGCTATCTCTTTACAGCTACTAAAGTGTCTTAATGAAATTCTGTCTGGCTGCAAAATGAAAATATGGATTTATTTACACACAACATAGTCCATTTAATTAGCAGCTGAGAGGTTTAATGGCTAGTATTACTTTCTGTTAAAGTGAGCCATACCCCTCTCAGCTGAAAGCTCTGAATTCAGGCAGCTGTCAGGGCTTCATTTTACTTAAAAGGTGAATTTCAGATGCAACTGTGCAGTGAAGTCATCAGAGTTATGACCAAAACAAGGGACAAGCATTTGGAACTGAAAAGAGCTATAGAAATCGATGCAAGAAGGCCATCCCATGTCCATCGCAGTCTGCAAGTCCTCTATGCTGCAGCCCCAGATGACAGTGCAGTTTGAGAGGTGCAATTCATTCATAATCCAAAAGCCTGATTACCACAAAAGCGTGAAGATTTACACATTGTGCAATTACTATCCCAGACTATGCTGCTCCAACCCAGCTCAGTGCTGCCCGAGGTCACTTGTATGTAACAGTAGTTCCTCAATCAACAATACCCATGAGCAAGCTCCAAGACAAGCAACCAGCTACAAACACTGACAAGATGCTGCCTCTTAGAGCAAGAGTTCTTTGCTTTCCAGAATTTCAGCATCAGAGAACACAGAGGGGGAAATGTCTGGCAACTGGAACAACACAATCTGTCAGCCCAGGGACCCACGGTTACAATCAAACTCTTTATTTACTTCTTAGAATAGAGCCTGCCCAAATCTCTCCAGTCTAGGATCCTAGATAGGCTCAGCAGGGGAGAAGCATCCCTATTATTGAGCTCTTATAGAGCCAGGCACACAACAGCACAGAGCAGTACCTATTCCTGTTGGACTCATGCAGACCAGCCAGCAGGATTTGCCTAGCTTTTCATCTTCTACAAACCTCACTTTTTAAAACTGCTGAGCACAGGAATCCTTCAGCATCCATACTACCAACTTTCAAATTACTTTTCTATGCAGTCCTAAGAACATGCCAAAAATAAACAGGTTTCTGTCACCTATTGAAAAAGGAAAAGTGTATACATGGCAGCTAAAGCAAAGCTCATTTTACACTCTTTAATCACTAATATACAAAATGCAAACCCCTGCATTTCCTGATATTTCCTCAGTAAAAATAAAAACCACAAGCCTTCCTTCACATACACAAAACAGACATTTTTCTTTGTTTCTTGTAGCTTATTGATTTCCAGTTGTTCAAGTATAAGTGAATCTGTAAGACCTCACCTCTAACCACCCTGCATGCTACAGAGCAGTTTCAGGCAGTAAAATGTCAAAATAAACAAGACAAACAGATTACTGTGACAAGTTTTCCCAAGGGCAGAAAAACATTATCAGCACCTGCTGCATTTTCCATCTGCTTTGAAGTACCCAGGAGAAAAATCAGAACTTTCATACAGTCAATACTTTGTAATTTATGATTGGTATTGATTCCTTTTGGAAAACCCAGGCTGTGTGTATATATACATGTTTCTTTCTATACAATGAGGAAAGCAATGTAAGTAAGATCCAGTCCAGAATCCAGAAAACTTCAGGCCAAAGCACAGCTCTTTTTCCTTCACCTGTCTGATCCTTTGTTACAGCATTGGCCTGCAGACAAGGACCTGTTGACCAGGTCTCCTTTGGATGAGTCCTCAGTGTTGCAGAGCCAAACACCTATGGGTTGGAGGCTGCAAAGTGGGCACTGCCAGCACAGGGCAGCAGCAGAGACAGGTTTTGCTGGTGGAAAATTCCTTATTTGCCTTAATTTGTGCATGACCACCAGCTGGGCAGGGAAAGCTGTAAGCTACCAGAACATGGCAGCTCTGTTTCTCTACAGGAGATACTTGCTTTCCCAAAGGTGTTTTGACTTCCCAGCAAAAAGAGCATCATACCAAGAAAGCAAAACTCACCTCTCAGCACATGGGGTGATATGGGTGGCCATAGCACAGCACCTTCTGCCTCTTCTAGCCACTCTCTACAGGGGAAGAAAAGAACCTGTACCCAATGCAATTTAAGCTGGTGGAGTTGGGTGTGACATGGCCCTGCTCAGGGGCAGCTCATCAGCCCATCAGCCACATCCTAGCTGTGCCCAAGCTGCAACCCCTGCAGCTTGGGTCCCTCCAAAGCCACCAGCAAAGCAAAGCAAAGCAAACCAGTCCAGTCCTTCAAGAGCGTAATGAGTTTGTTTTACTTACAACTAAATCACAGCTGAGGGAAAGAGGAAAAATACTTGCTTCAAGCTCTAGCTGTGAATTACTGTCAGTATCCCCATCTCCTCAAGGCATGGGTTCCTCAGGTGATGCTGCTAAGGAGCTCTTGTGAGCTGCCTCACCTGCTATGTGAAGAGCAGCACAACCATGGTGTCCACCCGACCTCCAGCCCAAGTGATGTGGTGCTGTGCATGCCCTGGTCTCCTGAAACGCTTTTCGTGACCCATTTCCTCTTGCAGGAGAAGCTTGGAGGAAATTATTTGTCCCCAGTCATGTCAGGCTGATGTCACAAGGAGCTGCAGTGATGCAGTAGGGACAGGACAAATACCTGTGGAAAGAGCATTCAGGTTGACTGACTATAGTGCTCCATTTCAGAAGCGTTAGGAAGGGAAATGTTTGGTTCTCATTAAAACAAAACAAACCAAGCAAAAACCAACCAAACACACACAAAAAGCACCAAAAGCAAAATCTCGCTCAACTTCTAACTACCAGTACATTTGTGTATGTAGTATTTTCAGAAGTATACTCTGGTTTTTCTCTAGGTTTCTCCAGCTTTACCTACTGTATTGCCTCTGTCTCTCCTTCATGGCAGGGACTCCTGCAGCCAGACACCTGGCTCACCACTGGCTCTGTGCCCCAGCACCACAAGAATCCCTGAGTCACTTTTGGTATTAATAGGTTCATTAACTTCATTGTCCTGGCCAAGTTCCAGTTTGAGTAAGAACAATCCCTCCAAACATTCCTCTTCTATTTCAACCACAAATGTAATTTGCAATTTCTTGCCTGCAAATGGTTTTCACTTTTTTTCCATGGTTGTTTTCTTCCATAGCAAAACATCTGTCACTTTTCACCCAGGAGATGGCTGTATTTTGATGCCACATCAATACCTCTATCTTACACACCTATCAAAACCCACCTCAAAGCAAAACAACCTTCTTACACTTCAGGTAAATTTCCCTGCTTCCATGGAAATTCAGAAGTTTTGCTCACAGGAGGAGCAAATGTAGAAGGAAAGACATCACAATTTATTTAATGTGATAAGATATTCTACATACAAAATAAATGATGCACTTCGACTGGAGAGATTTATGAAACTGTTTGATGGGTCACACTATTTAAATAGTAATCTAAGCAAGCTGTGACTACACAGCCATCATCCACTAATCTAAGAGACATTAAAGTTGCCCTCGCTTCTTAGAAACTACTATTTGAGTTGAAAACCTCATCAGGAGACCATGCCTGGGAGAAAACAGAAGCATATTTCAGTTAATGGTTCAGACCCACCTTGTTTTCTCTGGAAAATTTGCACCCCATACTGTAAATTCTATCTTTGCAATACAAATTTTATGGTTCTTATCACCAATCCCATCACAGAGTTCTTGCATGAACCTGTTCTGCATTTCTTATCTCAGGGCTTTTATGGTAGGAAATATTGCATTAGAGCCAGTAATTTACTTTTTTTCAATAAGATTCAATACATATGCAGCAGCTCTTTACTGACTGGATTGATATTATAAATTATAAGCGTGGAAGTAAATACATTAGGACAAATACTGGCTTCTAAATAGCTACCGTGAGTGAGATTTTATCCTGATGTTGGATTGTCACACCTCTTATCTTTTATAGCTGTATCTTATCTCCCAGTTACTATACTTTGTGGCAAGAAAGGAAATAAATAACACCACGTCGTTTCTGACATTTCAATTCATGCAGTCCCACATTTTGGAAACAGCAGGTATGAATCTGTGCAACAGTTTTCCAGCAGCTCTATTGAGACATTTGGGGATCTACAACTATCATAAACAGGTTTCTTTCGCATGTTACATCACTGAGCATTGCAGGGGAAGCAGCAGATAAAGTCCAGTGCCTGCTGGAAAAGATTAGCAAAAAACCCCAGCAATTCTGCTTTGGGATGTTCATTCAACACATCTGCTCCATGGTGGTTCAGCTGTTTTTTGTTTTACTCGATAATCTCAGCCTTTACTACATTAACACCAAGATTAGACATGGCATCTTGTCAGGAAACAGGAACAAGGCACTTGGTCTGTAAGAGTTCAAGTTGCAGTTACACATGGACCACCCTCCCCACTTCAGAAGCAGCAGTAAGGCTCCCAAAAATACAGATCCAGTCAAGACAGTATGGAAATATAATTGCTGCAACCTATGGGCAGAATCTGTTGTCTGAAGAACTGCACGAGCACAGCAAAATCTACACTAAAGCTGTTGTTCCAAATATTTATTAACAAATATAAATGCAAGTGGAAAAAAAGAATAAGCATTCCAGTGGCAGATTTATTAGTTTTAACAGGGAAAGAGATGAATCTAGCAACAAAAGTAGCAATAGGAAAGGATTCTTAATCAAATGATAAAATGGAAACAGCATATGCAATATATATTTATATATAAATATATTAGTTACATTCTTCTTAAATATAATAAACAACATTCATTAACAACATCCAAAAATATTTCTTTGTAGTAAGAGATTCCTCTTCCTGCAGAGCATTACTGCCTCTCCATAAGTTTATGGCCACTAGGACCGGTTTAGATTTTGGGGCTACAATAGGTATTCAACACCACCAGGTCATATCCAGAGCACGTGATTTAAAGCTAGCTTATAGGAGATCTCAATGTTATTTCTGAGACTTAAGGCAAGGTATGCAACAGGTGGGATTGGCAGAGCATGATTTAACCTGTGGAATCTCCTTAAAAGCCAAATTTGGATTAAAGCTAGATTCCCGTAGGGAAACTCTGACGCATTTTAGGATTCCCAGTTTAAGACACACTTCCCTTTTTTTTTTGTAAACAAAATAAACTGTATCCTGTTAACCATTTTTAACATGAAAATAAAGAGCTGCTTGGGTAATTTTAAAATAAATCAGTATAAAAATCTATCCTATCCACTGTCTCTGTATCAAAGTGCTAGCAAATGGCACAGTGTTTTCTGTCTGAAGCCATGTTCCCTGCTTCTCATGTTCTATATCACAAACCTCAGCTTCAGCAGGACTGAGCTCAGGATTCCAACTGTGGCTCAATCAGCCAGCCTCCGGGCTCACTCTTGGACAGCCCTCGCTTACGCTGGGATGCCCAAAGCACATCTGAACAGGGCAAGTTCTCTGTGCTGTTAGATGGACAGTGCCCATCGCAGCCCCATCCCCACCCTGCGAGGTGGCAGCAGGGTCTGCGTATGCATGGTGCGGCTCAGCTCCCACCGCAGCCCAGCAGGTACTTAGCCTTTCCCTTACAAAGACGAGGGCAAGAGTTGGGCTCGGACCCTACAGCAGAAGACGAGCTATCATTTTGCATAGTTTAGTTCAGCACTGACTCTCTGAGTCCTGGGGAGATGCCCTATTGTGCTCCAGCTGCTCCCCTCCCTGCCAGGTGCTAGCAGAGCAGCTTGCCTGTTCAGGACCTCTTTGGCTTACGTTTTTTGGTTCAAATGCTCGCTGGCTGTTACTTTGGAGCCTGAATGAGAAATAGTGCAAATACAAGCTTAAAGAAAAAACAAAACAAAACCAAACAAACCACATTGCATTCACTGAACATTCAGTTAAAAAGGCAACGATTAATAAGAAGAAACGCCAGTTTTGCAGTCTTTGAGACAACTGGCAAACCTGTAAAATACTCTTCATAATTGTCTTAGAGGAGTCTATTTGTCTTGGCACTAGATGCTTGAAGTCATTTGCTAATGTGATTCTAACAGTTGTAGCTAATTGCAAATGACTGAAGACTAGTCACAGAACACAGGACATCTCCTCGGTGTGATAGGACAAACAGTCCCTGCAGTTATGGATTCCTCGGTGCTTTTCTTATCCAAGTTTGACTCAAAATGATTTTGCTTGCATGGAATGGTGTGAATTCATCCAGACTGGTTTTGCTGGAAGGCAAACAGACCACATTACTTCTGAAGGCGAAGATACCTTTATTTGGCCATGCTCAGGCAGATTTAGAGGCCAAAACAGAGCTCAGTTTGATTCCTATTATGGGAGGCTGGCTGCAGTGCATTTTAAAACAATAATCATCTGAAGTGACTGAGATGTTCAAGTTTGAAACTTCACAAAGTGCCAGGGTGCCCTAAGTATGCAGAACCCCACTTTGCACTGCAGCAACCTTCACCATGTGGCAGCACGCAAACTGCAGTCCTCACTGAAGCAATGCGCCACGCAATGTTTCTTGGCCCCACTTCATAAAGGGGCTTAATTCTGCTCAACTCCTCTTCCCCCAGAAGATCAGCAGAAGGGACATTCAGCAACAAGTTGCTCTTAACAAGCAATGCACAAATGGCTTGTTAACTCACCAAGGATCAGGCACTCAGCCTGCTCAGGGTTTTGCAAATCCTATGTACCTCTACTGCTAGGCACCTACATGCTAGTGCAAATCCTGGTTCTCAGGGTTCGGCTCTGGGAACTAGTCCTGGTCCTGCTTTGACCACAATCAAAAAGACTGCACTCTTTGGTCTGGCGCAGGGCTGACTGCTGCCCTTATTCGATCCACAGGGCTCAGACCGGCTCCTCTCCATCACACAGCTCCTGCTGTACCTACTGAGAGTAGCCCAGCAACAAGCCTTTCTAGCTTAAGGTGTAGTTGCAATGGGGAAGCTTTACCTGTTGATTTTATGGGACTGTTTCAAAGCAGGATCCACATGTTTTAAACCATAAAGAGATGAAATCACATTGAAGCTAAGGGAAAAAGACGTAGTCATATTTACAGACAGCTGCCATCACCCCACACACATACTCTGTTAAAGAAACAGCCTTATCTTTGCCCGTGTGCTTGTTTCTAACATGATACTGGCCTTCCCAGCACTTAAGAACATTGTTTCCAATGACATAGATAACAGAGTTCAGGCTTTAACTGAGAACTGATGCATGAATATGCGTAAGTAGCTTTCCTCTCGCAGCTCCTTGCATTAGAGCTTTGTACATGAATAAAATGGAAAAAAAATTCTCCACTGGTTTTCTCCCCCGTCAAATTCATGTTCTGTGGTTAGGAAAAGGAGAGGTGGTTGGAAGAAACTCTTCTTTCCCTTTTTCACTTTGTCTGCAATGTAAATATTACTGGAACTTAAATGCCGTCATCTGCATTAAACAGGTGGGACTCTGTTATGCTCATCTTTTGTATGATGTTCATGTAGCAGGGGCTTCTGAAATACATTTGAAATGAATGCTGGCCATGAGAGGATACTGCCTAAATTAGAATCAGGCTCCAAGTATCTTCCTGCAATTAGATTATGTCATATATTATACTCTTACTCATGGCCTGAGAAGGAGAGTGCAAGGGTACTTAATACCTGTAGATATGCAATTAAAATGAGTGCATCAGACATTCGCTAGGTCTGGCTTTTGCCTGCCTCACATCTGGCACAGGCTAGCTTCTAAACCTTATAAGAAAAGAAAAAGGAAAACTAATGCACACACACTGGACATCATCATGCCCATATGTATGCCTGCTGGCTGCTACTGGTACCTAACTGAAAAGGTGAAGAGCCACACAGATTCCACTTTATTTGCTATAGTTTGGGTCATGTTAATGCTAAAAAAATAGAATTCAGAGTGAGGGGAGACAGGTTTGTTTGTAATACACAGCAATTTTGCCAGCTCTTGAAGATTGTATTTCAAGCATAACTGCATTTCTCCATGCATACTGAATGTTTGTGGCAAAAGCAGCCAAACCTATTAGATAGGCACATGGTGAAAGATGGTATATTAAAAAAAATAAAGATCAGTCATTTCCATTATGAAAACTATTCAAAGCCTTGATCTTGCAGCAATAAGCTATACATGAAAGGTAGAAGACCCCTTCCTCATATGAGAAGCAGACTCCTTCCTTGCATGAGGGGCCCAGCAACACCAGCTGTGAAATGCACACATAGAAAGGCTCTTTTATATTATATATACAACTGTAATCTAGAATAAATAGCACTGTTCTGACTCATAAATGCATTTCAGCTTGGTTGTTGTTTGTTACAGCTGGAGATGGCTTGCTTTGCATCCCTTCTGTCCCACCCTTGGACAGATCGATGAACAGAAACCTGGGAGTCCAGAGTGTCAGCAGTATCCTCTTGTATTCCCTCCGGAAATTCTGGTTAAGAAGACCATAAATCACAGCATTAAGGCAGCTGTTAAAATAGGCCATAAAATAGCTCAGGACAAAAAGCCATTCTGGAATGTGTGGCTGCACATGTGAAGGATTAATTGAAACAGCAAGGCCAATAAAATTTAATGGTCCCCAGCACACAGCAAAAAGGACAAAAACTACAAACATAGTCAAGAAATTCCGGATGTCAGCTGCTCTGAGCTTCTGCTTGCAATCTTGTCTCACCCGGTGTTTGACTTGAATCACCAAAATCCAGATCCGCAGGTAGCAAAATGTCACGATGGACAGTGGGACGATGAAGTGAACCACCACCACTGCGATGGTGTATGATGTACTCACTGTCTGTGCAAAGGTGCAGGAGTAAATCCGGGGGTCATACTGCAAAGAGCCAACAAAGAAGTTTGGCACAATTGCCACCACTGTGAGTATCCAGGTCAAGCAGAGATAGCAGAAGGTGTTCTTCAGGTTGAAAAGCTTATCATACCGAAGGCTGTGACAGATGTAGCAGTAGCGGTTGATTGCAATCGCTGTGATGTTGAAAATGGATCCAATGACACTTAAGCCCATCAGGAACCCACTTATCTGGCAGTGGACATTTCCCATGGTCCATCCATTGTGGAAAATGGCACTCAAGATCAGAGGGTATGGATAAACTGCAACTACAAGGTCTGCAACTGACAAACTGACGACAAAGATGTTGCCTACAAAAAAGAAGAGACGGTGAGAGGTTAGCATAGGTTGAGGTAGACAGCTTGCCGCTAAAGAACTCCTCTTGAGGCTGAGTTCTCCTCATGGGCTTCAGTTTACCATCCATTTGGAATTTGAAAGCCTAGAAAATAAGACTTAGCTCTACTAGTGACAGCAATGGAGAGCAGCTACCCATGATTAACCTGCATATTCCTTCTCAGGAAAATTCTAAACTTGAAGTGTTACCTTTAATTCAGCTATAGCTGTGGGTCAGGGTCCTGAGTTCCACTAAGTTGTGTAGGAAAGAATGATTTTCTCTTCTTGTTAATCAGCCAGCATGCTACTGCTCAATTTGAGTGTGGCGTATTTTTAGGTAGGCAAAAAGCCTTTCTGTCCAGTTTGCCAGTCAGAGTAGGGGAGGGAATTAAGAAAGGGACCTTGATACCTTTTGGGATCTGCTGTAACTACAGGGTCAGCTATAATGTTGAAAGAATATCTGTCAATATTCAGCTTTTTGATGACCAGAAAAATTGTCATTTCAGGAGGAGCTCTACATTGCAGTCAGAGGACAGTACACTAGAAAAAGTGGCTGTTTTTAATAACTCTACTACCTTCAGGTGTATCTACAGTAGTAGGAAAGTAAACATCACTAGAGTATCAGGAAAAGCTATGTTTAACACATTTAAGGTGTTAATATCTATGCCCCTAGGTGTTACGATGCAACATCCCAGGTGACTGATCACACCTGAGCCTTCTCGTCAAACCCTTGTATCCTGATGTCTACAAGATTACACAAAAAAACACTAAAAATATATGTTTTTCTGTAGTTCCCATGAAAGGATTCTCTGAGACCTCAGTTCAGCCGGGTCACTGGCTTCAGTATTTGGAAAGTACACCCAAGGGCTGGCAGAAATCACAGCCACTTTGCCATTGCAGTTGTTTACTGCCAACAAAAACTATCAGGACAAGTCAACCATTCATATCGGGCAGCAGAGTCCACATTGACTGAAACACAGTCCAGACGAGAATAGCCCATGGCAGTGTGGAGCTGAGGCAGCTGACACAACCGTCCTTTAAAAATAAGTATTAGCAGATGTGATGCAAAGTGTTGAAATCTTTTTAGAGGGAGATTTCACATACACAGGTTTACCACAGCGCACGACTTCTGCGGCTGCTGTGCCTTACTGCTGCTGATCTAATATCTCACTTAGAGCCTTTTAAATTGCAGTCACTGAACCTGGTGCCCACATAATTACCTCTATTTATGCTCACTCTCAAGGGCAGAACCACCCCTGGTCAGGCTCAGTGCTCATGCAGGCACCCTAGAGAAGGAATACTCTTGTGCAGCAAATCTTTTATTCATTTGATCAAAAATACATACAAAATGTGTCCCCAGCACCAGGATTTCCTCTTGAAAAGGTTTTCCAAAACAGTTTTCAAGACAGCAAAACAGAGACAGACGGATCAGTAACCCAATCTAGGAGACTTCCAGGGGATGCTGGAGACAGACTCCATTGATGGAGCCACAGCCCTCCCTTTTCACTGGACCTGTCCCACTTGGATACACATTCACATAAACAGGAGGTTGGAGAGCAAGCCTCTGCATTTGCTAGGGATTGAAGACAGCCACATCCAACACCCAGGCCTGACTCAGGCAAAGCAGAACAGAGCTGGATATTCCCTACTTAAGACAGCATATCAGTGGATTTAATCCAAAATTTAGCAAAATCATAGGGAAAATTATCAGCCTCACATCACTGCCAGCTGCTGGGAGCAATGAGCAGTCTCTGTCAGTCTTTCTTCACTGACTTGAACAGTTGAAGTAGAAATATTGGGGGGGCAGGGGAATCTGTTAAAATAATATTCCTAGAATAGATTTAGTAATTTGGATTTAATCCAAGAGTGCAGTATTGTATTATTGTCCTGTAGTGCGTATTATATGGGGTTGGAACTAGATGATCTTAAGCTCCTTTTAAACCCTAACTATTCTATGATTCTATTATTTTGACACCACTTCATTGCATGTTGCTCCAGCAGGAAAAGAAATAAGAGGCGTTTATCAAGACGAGAATAATCTCCATTTCTATCTGAAGAGCAAACATGCCATCCCCTGCTCTGTGCTTTCACCTTGCAGTCTTGGCTGTCCTACCAACTAGAAGAACTATCGCCCTGGCAGGGAAATGAATACCTGAAAACAAGATCAGAAAGGTTTGCTCAGTACTATTTCACAGAAATAAATCCATTTTCCATTTCATTTGGCAATGTGGTCAACTTCACATTTTTCTTCTGGCAAGATGAACATGAAGGTCGGAGCCGTATAAAAGCCGCTTGCCAGTCAGTCCTGAAAAATCAGTGCATGAGTACAAAGAAGGGGCACACTGCATGCCTCTGAAGCAGAACATATCCTTCAAAGTATGGGAACTGGCTGTTGGCTAATTATCAAAATGAGTCACTTGACTGAAACACTGCTTCAGCCTGCAGTCCCTAGTTTGCTGTGAGACCACCGTGGGCTGCACCCTGTGGCCAAAGACTTGTGTCTTTGTCCTCTGATTGGACCCTCACTCCCAAAACCACTGCAGAATGGGAAGCCATCTCATGTGTGGCTTTTAGGGAAGGTAAAGAGCAGTCTCCTGCCAATGGTCTCCACTACTGTAGGGTTTTTTTTACATTTTTCCACTTTAAACCAAAGGAGTCCTGCCCATAAAAGTACCAGCTGGACTTGATCTCAAATTTAAAATTATCTGCTTCCGTGGCACTATTTTCTGATGTATCTTTTTCTCTTTGTTGGCATGGGAGTATATTTCCTCATGAGCTTTCACATTTTCCATCCTGTTTTTATTAGCCAGTTGCTGGCTCTGTTACCCAGTTATGGAGTCATACGCAAAGAGGCATGGCTAGTGGAGGAAAGCATGTTACAAGCACACTGATAATACTGACCTGGCCACCTTTTCAGAGCAACTATAAAACCTCTCACATTACAGAGGTCCAACACAAAGCTATAGATTACCAGGGTATGATACACTGCTCACAGTGTAAGCCACAACTTGTTTGGGAGAACAAATCAAACCATGGAACAGCCTGAAGCCCAGCAGCAGAGCAGGATCAAAGCATGTATGAGTAAGTAATACAAAATGGAATTTATCCCAGAATACCTTGTGCCCTAATACTTGCACCTTTGAGCTCCTTGCCTCCCTCCCAAACTTCAGTAATCCTGTTTTGGCTTACTTCAACAGCCTGCTCCTGTGTTGCAGCAGTTCCCTGGCCCTGCTTCTCATTTCACCTGGATTATCCAACATCACAGTTTATCTGAGGATTTACTGTCAAGTCCTGCTGCTAGGAAATGTGGAAATACCACAATGAGTTCTGAAAACTGATAAACCACATATATAAAGGTCTTCAACAGCAGGCTGCCCGAACAGCACCTGACTTTCATACAAAAGGATATAATTCTCCTACAGAGATTAATTGGGCATCACGGCACAAACACAAGGGTCACTGGCCCTGCTGCCTCAAGAGGTTTTGGAAATCCCTCGGTGCACGAGTTGCAGTTGCAGAGATCAAGCCTCTCCCTGCTGTTCCCACACAGGGACAGCTGTGGGCTGTGCTTTAGGTATCTTAAACATAGAAGTGGGGTTAAATGGCAGCAGGGATGTGTAAAAACATTTTCTGAAAATTGGCTATTTTTCTACATCTCAGAATGTCCAAAGCAAGCACCCAAAACTCTTGTTCTGCTGTCCATATAAAGCTCTCTTATGCTCACAGTCCCTGCTGAAATACTACAGAACTGTTTGATTCAGGTTAACAAGATACTCAAGATGCTCAATGCAGCCTGAAATTAACACTTATCTGTAAACCCAGTGCTGAAATTGAAACGTCCTGAGTGACAGGAGATGCACCAAAGCAAAAAGCCAGGTTTGCAGACCAGCTTCTGCTCCATTTGAGGAGGAAAGAGGGCTTTGCTGTCCAGATTGCCCCTTCCTGCCAGCCACTTTGCAGGCAGCCGAGTTGCTCCCAAATAGCCAGTGCCCAACACAGCATTTTGAGGCAAACAAATCATGTACAACAGCATCAAGGTCAGCAGACCCATAAGCATGATGGACATGAGTGCCATGGGGGCTCACTGCATGACCAGCCCGCTACTGTCCCAGCCTCTTCCCAGAAGAGAGCAGATCCTGGCATCTGTTCAGATGCAACCAGAATAACTGACAGTTGTAGAACAGCAGGTATAAAACCCTGTGTTGATAAAACTTGCCAAGATACACAATGACATAATGACTGGTGTTTCTGTGGTGACACCTTAACATTTGTGGCTTGTAATAAAAAGCACCTTAAACTTTATGTTTGTCCTTTCAAGTTTTATGAAAAACTCAACAGACTCATGTTTAAAGTGAGATAAACTGGAATTAAGACTCACATCAACCACAGAGATACAAAATAAGGTTCAGTAAACAATTTAACAGGCCATGACTGTAAAGCAAGCCTCTGATAACCACTTACCATAACCTAATACTCTGCTTAACCTCCCAAAGCTTATGCTCACTGCAGAACAGAAACAAAATGTACTGTTTGCCCCGAGCAAAAAGATAAAATCATAAAAGCTTTATTCAGCATGCGACAAGACTCTTTATTAGCTTTGATAGCCTCCTTTTCTTGTTTGTTTTTACCTGCCATTTGCTGTGCGTTTGCTTGTATTGCACCAACTTCCAGTCTGCAGACATGAAGTGCATGCTCAGCTCTGCAAACTGAGTGGCAGTTTATAGAAAACAATTCCAAACCAGTTTTTTTTTTCTTTTTATAATACAAAGATGTCAATCATATTGATCATAAACTGCTGCAATTTAAGCAGGTAATAGTAGTGCAATGTTGGGGGATCCTGATCCTGCAGCCCTCACTCTGACAAGCATTTCTTACATCGCAAAACCTGAAGGAACGCTCCAGCAAAGATGGTGTTTACCCCACCAAAGAGCATGAAGAACCATCCTTCTATAGGGGACTATGACCCAAGACACTGCTCCATGCAAGCAACAAAACAGCACATGAGAAATCCCAGACTATTAAATTGCTGTTTCTTTCCAGCATTCTAAAAAGCACTGATGCATCTGATGTGCCTGTTGTACAACAGCCCAGCGTGTACTTACCCATTTTGACAGCTGAAAATGTTTGACAGGGGAGCACAAGTGAAAAGCAGAGAAACTCTCTGTGATATTGTGGCAACAGGAAAAGAAAAAGATCTGTTGTTCTATTAATTAATCCACAAATTTTAATTAAGGATTTTATTTGCGTATCTGGGGAGCCTGCTCAAAGAGAGGAATTAAACAAAAGAAAGGAAAAAGCATTCAATCAATTATCTGTCATCATTACTCCATCAGGATTCAGAGGGGGATAAAGGATGGTTTCCTGCAGTTAAACAGACAATGCAGTTGGGCTGCCAGCTGGTCTCAAATGTTGACTGCGCTGCATAAAGTGATCCAGAGGGTAATGGACAGGACAGGAGGTATTGCCAGCCCACAGCACCCTTAGGATGTAAGATTAGAGAGCATGGAAATACCCAATTTAAGGACGCCAGGAAGGTCCTAGACAAAAGGATAAAACTCCAGAACAATTTAACCTTTTCCTGGCAAAAAAACCTTTGAGATCTCAGCACACTCATGAAGCCAGAGAACAGCAGCATGCTCTGGGCTACCAACCATTACCTGGTTTACTGGCATCATTCCCTACGGGAAAACTGTGGGTGCTCAGTGCTGCGCTAGCCTTGCGTTCACACAGGAGCAACATGAAGGCAGAGCAGGAGGCAGCCAGCAACACGAACTCTCAGCCTCCTCCTGTGCCTTTCCATGACCAGCCATTCAGGCATCACTTTGGCATCACAACTGCAAGCTCCATTATTAGTCATCTCATCAGTGTATCACCACAGTTGCATGAAAGCTGTCTTTTCCTCTGGACCTGTGAGAAACACCTGCTTCCAGGAGGAGGCAAAAAGCCCTCACAGTATTAAATGAAGTAGAAAAGACCAGCTCCTCAGCACTTCAGTTACCTTTATTTTGTTATGTACCATGTATTATTTTGGCTGATGGTTAAAGAAAGGAATTGCCTACAGTGCCAGGTGGAGGACCAGATTATTGGGTTTTAGACTTACTTTTAAGTCATGACCTTCTAATTGTATTGCTGTCAAAACCATATTTGAGTCACACCTTCAGCTGCTGTAATTGAGCACAGCAATCATCTACAATTTTTACATCCTGGAGATTCATAACTTCCATTCGGCTAAGGCCAGCCAGATTCAAATTTGTATCTGAGCTCAGGAGTCTGTGGAATAGGCTAAAAATTAGAGACCAGCCACGTGCACATGATTCCATAGCATTCTTTCTATCACTTATCATTATATTGGGAAAAAGTTGAAGGAGGTGATCTTTCCCTTGGTGTGACACAGATGGTAGCTGGACATTCACTCTTTACTGAACAAAAATCATTCTAATTGCATCTTCTTCTGGACCTTTATTAAGGGCCGTTGTGTTTTAGTACCAGTGCAGAACAACTTCCAGTTTTCAGAGTTTCAGATATCTTAAAAGCAAACAGAAGTTACCAACAAAGCAGAAACTCTTATGCCAGCACTGCCTTCTGATACTAACTGTCCTTTTATCATTTATTCAGGAACAAAACTCTAATAAGGAAGATTTATATCAAATGACAAATAACAGCTGTGGGGAAAAGAAGAAAGTGTTGCACTTCATCAAAACTCTGTAAGACTCTGACAGCCAAAAACACACTGCCAAAGTGGCAAATGCAGACCAAAAGACAAGACAGAAATCACAGCAGCTGTTAAACCAAACAGGAACTTGCTAAAATTAAGGGTCATTTTCCCTCTTTCATATTTAGTCTCAAAACACTATGTAAAGAAATTCAACCTCTTATAAAGACAGGCTGAATCATTAGCACAGAAGTGACACAAGACCCTTGCAAAGATTTCAGATTAAAAGGTAACTGTTAATACTCAAGCAGCTCCTAAAATCCTATGAATATGTTAATCTGGTGTCAGCTGGAACCCTCCAATATTGAAGTAATAAATCTTACCAGACTGAATTTTACCATTATTCACTTGATGTTACAATATTCCTTAAAAATACGCAAGCATTCAACACAGAGGGTGCTGATGGCTCTGTAGCAACAGTACCAATGCCATCCCAGGCCAGACCACGTGTTTCCTTCTTCCCAGATAGGTCAAGGCCATACATGTCCCAGAGCATCAGCACTCCCAAATTATCTATATCAACAGGCAGTGGTTTCACCTAGGAAGGCTGCTGGGATTGCCAGGAGGGAACAGGAGAGCACAAGGCTTACACGAGTCACATCTGAGGTTGATTTGGTAGAGGTACCACAACAGCTACCAAGAAATGCTCAGGACTGAAAAGCATCCTGCAAGCCAAGTTATACATTTTGGCTGAAGGATGCTGATTTCCAGAGGGACAGGATGATTATGCTTCAAACAAGCCCAAAATAAACACTGAAGAAATAACCAAATGAAGTGCATAACCAGCCAGCCCACCCCTGATTATACCACAGCATGAGGGTGCAGTGCTGACAAGTTTTGTTTTGTATTTCTTTAGAGGGCAGGAAGTGATCACATTGCATAATTATGCATTTAATTAGGCAGACCTAGTCTCATACTAGAGCAGTAACTGTAAGGACAAACAAGAGACCCATACTTTTTATGAACCAGGACTTTTCCCAGTTAGCTGCCATGTAGCATGAGCAAACCACTGCCTCTGTATATTTTGGTTTCCTGCTCCGACAGCAGAAGTCTGGCCTTCCATGCCTCCACTGATGTTTAAAAGTACAAGGGTGTTGTGCAGTGGAAGGCAGAATAGAAACAGAAATTAAAACAATTCTGATGTGCTCACCTTTTGGCTCTTGGGCAGTTCTCCCAAACCAAACACTTCCTTTTGAACAGCCCTGTGCAGAGCATGCTCAGGAGCCTGTGATATGCAAGAACAACCAAAAGAAGAAGGATAAAACTGGCAGAAGCACAGCCCTATTTACCTGTCCTGGTGTTTCCCCCAGTCTCCCAAGCCATAAGGAGTTTAGATATGAAATGCTGAGCTGCAGCGCATGCAACTGTAAAATTCAGTAGGCAACACTCTTCCTGCAACTCGATGGAGTCACTACCCACCGTGGTACCAGAAGCACATTTTGCTGCTAAAGGTGTCTGGAGCTGCTGGCCCTGGAAAAGGACAGAATTAACTGGGTTAACATCACTGGGGATTCATAGCAATGATGGTCTGAGTAAGAAAAGCCCTTGGCTAATTCCTAAATTGATTGCTGCATCCAGCAGTTAGCCTTCAGCTTCCACTTGACTTGGAACTGTTTCATGCTTGAAGCTGGATGCAATTGAATGTGATCATGGTCCATTCCAAAACTTTCAACACTTCTATGTTTGCAGCCTGGGCCAGTTTGCAAGGCACCTGAAGATCTCCTCCAGAGAAAACTCCCCAGCTGATTTCTAGGGGATAATTGGAAAGGTCCATTGTAAATCACACTGCATGAGAACAAACACGCTGTTGTCCTCCTGACACAGGTAGAATCTCCCTATGGCCTCATAGGTCAGCATCTGAGAAAGCAGTGATGTGGCTTATGGTTCCTATTTTGGAACGGAGGTGGTCACACAGAGCCTGCAGACAATTCTCTCTTTGTAACTGGAGATCAAGGCTAATTTCTTGTTCCCAGAGACCATGGCCTCAGGAACTGAGGTCCAGCCTTGATTTCCCCTTTAGGCTCCTGCTGCTTGCACATCTCCCAGTGGGTCTCACTTAACAAAAAGCTCACACACAACCTCTTGGCTTCCCAAAGCTGAACACTTTCTCACGTGAGCAAAAGAGCTTTGCTGTCTATGTACAACAGTGTGGCTTTGTAACCCTAGCCATGATAATAGCAGTACATAACAGCAAACAAGACTGAAGCCACTAAAACTGCCAGAAACTATACAAGACATTGCTATACGTAACTGCAGTATCTACTCAGGAAAGGAACAAGCAAAGAACATTGAAGCACTAAGAGCAAAAGCAATGAAATTTTCATCAAAAGACCAAAATGCCCCCTGTGCTCCTCATACACATGCGCAGCACAACACACTGCAGGACCCTGTTCCCTGTGCTCAGCATGGGAACGTTTAAGCCTGTGTGGCAGAGACCCAAAAGGGATTTGGCTCCATGGAAGCAATACCTACTGAAGCATCTGCAAAGAAGGAGCAGCTACAGCTGCACTACGGACATTGGAGTGCCCTTTGAGAGGAGCACACCTATTCTTTTTACTTCACTTTATTATTTGTGCTTTTTAAATCAGAAATTTCTGCACAATCCTCATATGATCTGGCAATTATGGAAGACAAGGCACTGCGAATCACTGTTATGGTAAATGCCACAAGTTTCTCAGACTGCCCGAAAGACAGGCATGGGCTAAAGCACACAGAGAGGCTGTTTTGGGATAATGGCAGCATTTACAGCAATGTCAGCTTCCAGCAAGTCAGTTCCCGTAAATACATAAAACAGGTCTGTCATCATCTTCCTCAGGAGACGGAAATATCAAGAACAAAGACGCATGGTTGGAGACTCCAGATACGAACAAGCTGTTAGATATGGGGCTGCTGCTATATCTTTACTAGTAAACAAAAAATTACAGATATTCCCAACACATGAAGATGGTGTTCACAGTAAAAGGACCTACCAATGCCAGCTGGACATGAATACACTCTTCCCTCATAGGTATAAATCTCAGAGTATCAGTGCTGCTCATCTCTCTTGTTTTCACCCTGGTTTCCTAGAGAAACAAAGTGTGTCTGATCACACTGCCTGCCTTTCCCCAGTAATTTTTGTTCCTGAAGGCCAACTTTTTACACATTTTATAGGAAATTGGATGATTCATTAAAATAAATAATTAAATGAACTTCTACACAATGGAAACTGGTCCCCAGCAGAGCAGGGGCATTGTGAGTGATTGCACTCATTAGAAAACATATAGGGTGTCCTCCAGTTTTTCATGAAAGCAGCTAATTCAACTGTTACAAAACGTCAGACCAGGGTGAGTTTCAGTCTAGTTCAGACTAGTTCATACTCCCATGACACAGCAGCAGCTGACAAGAAAACCGGCTTCATTTTGACGCTCCACGTTTAATGCATCTTCTGTATGAATGACACTAAAGACCAAGAAAATCACAATACTGTTGAGACGTTGTTGCTCATGCCATACATGTTTCTTGATAGAACTTGCAAAATCCAAGCCTAGGAAATTGGCAAAGAATCCACAAAAGATAGACATATTATAAATACACCAAAGGCAGAAAAAGTGTCCCTCAGAGGCTGACTTCAACTGACACCATAACCATTGCTCACAAGGCTCCAATCCTCTAATCAGTAGGAAATTAAAATGAGGAAAAACAAAGACCGGTGAGACAACTACAGGAAGGCCAACTACGAAGCCTAGGAACAGGGCTTCTGAAAGAAAGGTCAGAGCGGACACTGAATAATAATGGACACGTATACTTGTGCAATTAAGGGGCAACTTCATTGCAGGTGTGTTCTGCAGTAGCCTACAACAATTAGGATTGCATATTCCCAGAAACAACGTCACATGAGTTTTCAAAGAACTGGTACATTCACATAAGAAGAAAAAGTTGCCATGAAAAAGACAAAACTGAATTAGGTCTGCTTAAAAAACATTCAGGGAGCAGTAAACCTAGTTTTAAGCAGAGCAACCACTATGTAATGCAAGATTGTGAATTACTTAAATTACTACCCAAGAGAGAGAAAAAGGCAAGACAAAGAGGCTGAAATGGTGTTGGCCAAAGTAGATAAATCAATTCACTAATGGATTTGATGCTGACTTAATCTTCTTACTTGGCAATGTCCCAAAAAGCCTGTTCCTTTTGCCTTGCCTTACCTAAATGAAATTAACCTATCCCAGAAAACGAAGAACAATCTATCAGTGCACTGAAGGCAGACTGCTTGTTGGATCTGGATCTGTGTTATTCCATCCAAGAAACTAGAGAAACTTTGTAATTTAAAAAACCTGAAAATGGGAGGGCTGGCAACAAGTTGAACTGCTCTTTTCTCACGTGCTTTCTGATTGCTCAGCACACTCCAGTATACAGGTTGTACAAACAACTTTCTGTTTGGAACAAGAGCATTTGGCTTTGCTCTTCAGCAGTTCAGAAAACATAACTTCCAGTGCATCAACCAAGGAGGAATTTATGAATGAAGAAAACAGGAGCAGAATATTTCACTGAGATCTCAAGCTCGTTTATACTTTCTTGATAAAGCTGAAGTGTTTTTGTTTCCAAGAAAGTTTTAAATGGAAGCCTTCTCTTCTGAAGATGTCAAAACCACTATTTTATTCTTCCTTATAACACAGAAGAATTGGGTTTTGCAAAACTAACTTAGGAAATTAATGACTTCACTTTTCACCAGCAGGGATTTTTACTGCAACACATGACCATCTTGTGCTCATTTGAGGACATGCTGTCTAACCACTGCCTGATCCCTGGATGGAAACATAAACACACACATCTCAACACTTCAGAAGTCTCACAAGTTTGAGAGCCAATAGGGGACAACCTAAGAGTAAGAACAGGAGGCTGTATTTTCTTCCAGTATTAAATGGTCATATTCTGAAATGAAAGCTGGGAAAGAATACTTAGCAAAAGAACTGTCTGGAGCCAGAATGCCCTCTCAGGGAGAACTGCAGCTTGGTGCATCTTTCCTGTCAACCTTTGAGCATCTTTCCTCTCAAACTCTTCCTGCAGGAAGTATTAAAAATCAGTTGTCTGTAAAACCCTTAATGTCAATTGTTAACTTTTTCATTCTTGGGACACAAAGTAGGGCAGGAGGAAACATATTCAAGAATAACACGAAGATGACATAAGGGTTTTAAGTGAGAAAAAGCCTGAGACAAACACTACTGCTAGGATGAACTAAGCACCTACAGCAACACAACTGGGTGGATTTCCTACTCTCTTGCAGTACTCACAGATGTGACTGCAAAGACTGGCATCAAAGATGAAAGCATGTCGTGGTTTAAACCACGAAGAAACTGATGAGTAAAATGTCCTTTCCTACTGCATTGCCTTCCTGCTGCAAGGCCAGCAAGACAACACCCTGTCTAACATGAGGCTGAATTTAACAAATAGAGAAAACACAGGAGCAAGAGCAGGACATTCAGGACGATGCTTAGAACTGCTGCTAGTTCATTTAAAATTCAGAAGCCACCCTCAAATTCATGCTGTGATGGATATGACAGCAGGAGTATGGTGCTCCCACCCTACTGGGATAGCTCTAGACTGCAGAGATGGAAGAAGGAAAACAATACCACCTCCCACTTCTCTGCCTGTTGTCTGCATATAATGTTGGGCTGAAGAAACAGAAAAACAAGGAGACAGTGAGGAAGGGAACAAAGACCGAGGGGAACGCTAGGGAAGCCACAGGGATGAGGCACTGCACACTCCCTCTAGGGACCCAAAAGTGCAACTTGCGTTCTGCTTTTGACACTTTCAAAGAAAAAGGTAAGACCCGTGGCAGCAGCAGAAGGCTCAGCCCTGCCTCTGTGGACACTGGGGCAATGCGAAATGACACATCTGCATTTCACATTAGCCATTTAAGCCAGGTTTCATAACGGCTTTTTCCCTCTCAA